TCAAACCAATTTTTTTTCAAACTGATAGAAAAAAATATAGTATTTTGTAATTTTTTTGTATTTAATACTCCATCTGTCAAACTTTAAGGTCTCATTTACCTTTTACTTCATTGTATTTAATATTGAAAATATCCTTATATTTGTATAATTTATTTTAAAAAATGTCATTATAATTATTATAAGATACTGATAAAAATATTTTTGTTATTTTCCCTGACTTTGTACTATATTTTTATATAAGAATTAATATTCAAAGATTAATACGCAAAAAATAAATGAGATCCTTAGAGCCGACGGAGGTAGTATACATTTGTTTTTGTGTTTAACTTGTAAAAATAACCGTGAAGAATAAATTATTAATTATTTATATTATAAATATATTATTATGCAATAATAAATAATTATGTAAATATTAATAAAAATTGGGTGTAAATTGTAAATATAATAAATTGTTTAAATGAAAAATAGAATATTTGAAAAATATCTTTTGGAGTGAAAAATAGAATTTTAGGTTAAAAATATTGACCTGTCGCGCGGTCAATCAAATATTTCACCTACTCCGTAATCACAATTTAATGTAATATAGGGGAAGGGATCGTCTCCACAGGGATTGTGTGATTCACTCTTTCGTGTTCTAATGCAGTAAATAGAAGGAGATTTTTCTTTTATTATCTAATTAAAATAAAATAACAAAGCAATTAAATTAAAGGGGAATCGACTATAAGGGGATACCTGGCTCAAGGGATGATGCAGTTATGACACTTGTGTTCTATCATTAATTCAATTAAATTAATTCTTATTAAAGTATCAATAAATTGGTTATAGTTATCAACAAACTCTGACAACCAATTTTTCCTTACAGAGTAGGTTATTAAAGTATGATCGTTAACTACCCCTAATTAAGCAAATAAACCTAGGTGTTCCCATAAGAATATTGCCTAACCATATTCCAATCTAGAAAAACCCAATTCAAAACAATTACTACCTAAGATGAGCAATTAGATTTGATTGTCTAACCTCCGGAAGGAACTATTCAACCCGGTTGTCACCTACAGATATCCTACTTGAATTGACTTTAAATTATCAAACTAATTTAAATATCGGTACCAAAATATTCAATCAATCTAACAATCATAAACGTTATTCTCAGAATTAGACAAATATTGATAATCAAAAAGAACTTTTATAAAGAAAATCAAGAATCTCCAAAACAAAAGAACCAAAACATTATCACCCCTCAAACCAGAAAAGTATCTACTCCATAATTAAATAATAAAGAACAAGAGAGAAAGATGAAGTCATAGTGGGAGGGGAAATCTTCTCTGTCGATTTGCTCCTGCGCGATCTATGGATCTGTCAGTCTCCTGCTCTTGTGCGTATCTGCCCTAGCCGTTCTCCCCACTTTTGAAACGTGTGATCCCTCCTTTTATTTAATGTTTGCCATAATTATTTTGTAGATGGGCTTTTGGGTCTTTAATTTATTTTATTTTATTTTATTTTTTTGCCAATTATGCCAAATTTAATATTTGTCCTCTGCACACAGCAAATAAACAATTCGGAGTAACAAGTATTTTAAAGTTAAAAATTGTATAAATGAAATTTATGGGTTAAAAATAATCTAAATCACCTTGGCTATTGAATTGGCTTCAAACTTTTTTTTTTTTAATGATTTATTTCGTCTCTCTTTAATTTTTCATTTTTCGAAAACATATTTAATAAATATTATATATATAAAAAAAGACTTCAAAGCATATAATAATAACAATAATTATTATTATTATTATTATAGAACACAATAATGTTTTCAAAGTAATAAGTTGGGACGCATCTTATTTATTTACAAGTAATGCCCACATAACTTTAATTAAACAATACGAAAAGTACATCAAGAACAAACAATTTATGCTAAATTGTACAATACATAATTAAATTGAAATACTCTCACCGGTACAAAAAAAATGTAGTGGTAACGCCCCGGCCGGCTCAAATCGGAGCGTCACAGCCACGCCACACTGGAAGGCTCGTTCATCAATCAACTAGCCATACGTTGTGGCGCTAAGGCTAAAACAATAAGTACAAACAACTAAATAGATATTTAGAATTAAAGTGCACCGGCTTATCAATTAAATAAGTAAAGTTCGAATAAAAAACATAAATTATAAATAGTTCAAAAGGCATTAGTCTTTAAACATAATCAATGGATTTCAAAATATTTTAGAAGGTAAAGTAGTTCTTAATTTCCTGATGGATCATGTGACCTAAATGCATCATTTAGGTATAGCGGAAGCATGATCACCTACAAAAAGATCGTAAGAAGAGGGTCAACACAACGGTTGAGTAAGCGCAATTAATCGAAGATAAATTAATGCGGTATAATGCGACAAAATCATTTGAAGAAGATAATTGAATAAGATGACACGTATCATATAAGGGGAACTCACACACACGAGTCGTTTAGTGCCTCCCTTATATCTCATTTTCATTCTCAAATAATAGTGATGAGCACATTACGAAGAAAACTCCACTAGGCCTTAATCAGGACCGGCTCAACCCGGCTTTCCGACCTTATTACTTCGTATGACACTCACATAGTTTCACATAACAAACATAGGGTCACAACCCTCAAGAAAAACTCCACAATGTGTACATAAAGGTTCGAAATCCAAAGTACATGTAAATCAATTTATTATTAGTTTGCGAGGGGCGCCATACGGCCCACAACCCTCTAGTCTCCAATATAACATACCAACAGGGGATTGTACACAATTCATCCCTCCATCACGGATGACGGTCTAAAGACATTTCATCGTAAATGACTCGTACCTCGGAATCACCCAAAAAATTGAACCCGCCATCTCGATCCCTCGACCTAGCTCATTCGAGATCTAGTTCAAGGTTAGCTAGTTTTCCTAAAATACCGGTATACCCTCACATGTTTGCAAGGCACAGAGGTGGAAGGCTATGCCTTATCATCCAAACAATCGACAAACAATCGACGAGTTGATCGGACTCGACGGGTAGTTTCAATTACCAATTTGACCAAATACTCAACATGTTCTTAGGCAAATTTCAAAAAGAGTGTTTTAAACTCAAAATACCAATTGTCAACATTTAACCAAACAAAAGTAGGATATTAGATCCAAACTATAATCTCTTTATTTCGTCAAATAAATATTTGAATAATATGTCAATCACAGTAGGCATAGTCTAACTAAAAAAAATCATAATATTTAAATATAATCGTAAATCTTTTTCCAAAAACTATAACTAGGTTAGGGCAAAAACTAGAATTTCAAACTCATCCTATAAGTTCTAGGATTTTCAATTTAAAATACAATGATAATCTTTACATAAGCCTTAGATAACATTATAATCAACTTTTTAGAAGAAATTTGCAAAACCTAACACTTTTAGGGCAAACCCATTTGACAATAATTTTGAAAAAGTATCAATAGAAAAGGTTTAGAGATTAGAACGTATCATCTATCTAATTAATCTCACTTATTTGAGAAAATAGACCAAAAAGAAAAGTTTCGGAGAAAAATGACTCCAAGGAAGAATAGGAGAGGGGCTGGCGGCGTGTAGACGTGCCTGCTTGCTGCTCCTTCCATTTTTTTTTATTTATTTTATTAGAGATAAAAGACTTGGGTTTTTATTATTTATTTTATCCTACTTGGGCCCAAACTTAATTTTACTCTTAATTCAAATCCAATTCTTTAATTTCTTACACTAAAAGTCCAAAATAAATTAGACCCAAAATAAAATTTATCCGACTCCGGCAAACTTCCGACAATTATTTTACAGGGTATTATAGTAGTAGTCTTATTTTTCTTATTTTCGTGTGTTCCAACATAAAGTACTCACTCATTCGTAGAAATATAGTCTTAGGTTGGATACGAGGTTTAAGGAATATTGATATTATATTGGTAGTTGGTAAAAAATATGGATAAAAAACTTTTTTGCCCTTGTGAGTGTATTAGTATAAAAAGTAGTGAAAATTGTGTAATAAAAATAAAAAAATAGGAGTAGTTTTATGGTGATATGGTTATTTATGAAAATAAAACTATTATTTTGGGACAAAAAAAATGATAAACAAGACTATTGTATTGGGACGGAGGAAGTAATATTTTTTTTAATAATTGTATTATTTATCTAACATTATAAATATTTTTATATCTTACGAAATACTACACAAATGTTATTATTTTTATATTACTTAATATTAATAGGGGTATTGTCATCATTTTTATTGATTTATATTATATACAAATACAATGCTAATATTAAAAAATTTATTTGCAAAAAATAAACAAATATTTTATTCCGGAACGAAAAGAGTAATATAGTACCTCTTCCGTCTCACTTACTGTGTCCATATTGTTATTTTTGTCTGTTTTACATCTCAGGTCACCTTTTTTTTTTTAAATGATTAAACACTTAATTTTATTTTAAATTTTTTAATTTATAATTTTTAAAAATTTTAATTGGATTAATAATTTATATTAATTTTAATCTATAATTATTTATATTATAGTATAATTATACTTATCATAAATTATCATGTTTACCTAACGCGGACATGATAACTGAGCAGGTAGTATAACATGAATAGGTATTTTATATGATTATTGTAAATAGAAAATCCTATGTTTTGGTAAAAATGGAAAAACGGGTAAAAGTAATATGATAGATATTTTGTGACTACATTACAATAATACCACAATGGGTCCATAGCTCAGTGGTAGAGCATTTGACTGCAGATCAAGAGGTCATCGGTTCGAACCCGGTTGGGCCCTTTTTAATTTAATTTTTTTTATTTAATAAATTTTTCCATCCAGCTTTTAATTATGACTAGCATGGTCTTTCAATCATATTTCTAAACATAAAAGATGCTTCCCCAAATTATTGCCAGGACCACAATTAACCCAAATTATAACCATAAATTCTCAAAAATGAGACCAAAAAATAAAAAAATAAAAAAATTACAAAATGGGCAATAGTTATCCGAATCAGTGCAACTCTTTTGAACCAATAATTTCCACATAATGTCACTTACATGTCTTTAGACAATAATCTACAAAATGGGCATTCAAAAGTGCCAACCAACTATTGTCCAAATCAAACACATAAAAAAAACAAAAAAAACAAGTCATTTTTGTTGTCGTCAATGTAATGGGGAGTTGAGACCCTCTTGTGAAGACAAGGAATAATGATGTCTCTTCGAACTATACGGCAGCGCCGCCGCCGCTGCCCGCCGGAACGACGGCCGCTCCCGGAGATTCCGGAGCGTCCGCTTCGTGTAATACCGTCGATATATCGGAAGAGCCCTCTCTTTGAACTTGAGTATCGAAAAAAATAGAATTCTATATGCCACGAGAATGGCCGCGACCACGGCCAAGTCCAACCATTTTGAGCGGCTCGGGTCGATGCCTAGAATAGTCGCGAGGACCACTTCTCCCTTTAGCTTCGGATTCCCCGGGTCGGGCGGGTCGAACTCTATCCCGATCATGTCGTTTTTGTACGCGCCCTATCGTGTTAGTTAAGTTAGTTAGTTCTGTAATACATGGATACGATCGAAAGCTTATTACAATACATAAACGTTACCTGTAAGGCCCAGCCCATGTAGTTAACGTACGACACCGGGTACCTCCAAAATACATCGGGAAGATCCGGAAGGAGCCGGAAGAAGCCCGATGACGCCATCATGATTCCCTGCATTAACAACGGATATGTAATAACATGATAGCTTTGACGTTTGCCTTGAACACGTAAGGAATACTTACGATGAAACCGGCCCCGATTATGACGCCCATCAAGAAATTGGGGACAAGCGCAGCCACGACCATCATGCAACTCTCGACTACAGATATGGAGAGGAAAAGGTCGAGGACGGCAAACATGTAGTGCGAGAAGCCGGAGTGATACTTGACCATGAAATATATGATCGACGCGGAGCTAAACGACATTACAACCAAGAAAGGGAAAGAAGAGACGAAGTTCGATGTAATAAACACCGCGACACCGTAATGCCCGTTGAGCCTTTCTCTGTAAAACACCTGTTCGTTCGAAGACAAGAAACTATGAAACTTGTAAGAACACATGATCTTGTAATATCGTAAGAAACTATCACCTTCATTTCTTCGATGAAAGACGGAAAGCCTCCGATCGTCATGAATGTCATGAACCCGGATATGAATCCGCCGCAGGCTCCTCGCGCTAGAATTGCGTGGTAATTGGAACCGACGTCGTGGAAAACGGAGCCAACGCAAACTGCTACGAGAGCGAATACTAGGATTCGGAGCCAGTAATAACCGAAGTCCCTAGACATGTTTACCGACGATCGCTTCGTTAATGTCGAAAACTGCTTCCACCATGTCGCCTGGCTGCCGCTAGTCTCCTCAAAAACAAGTGCTCCCTTCGACTATGTCCGAAAATTAGATTTCATGTCGAATGTAGTATTAAATGTGTAGGTAAGAACTAGACAAAATGCTTACATTGGTCGCGAATTCTTTGATCTTAGCCTTTCCCATTGCAGCGAATTTCGAGCTTTGATACTTGTAAAGAAGTCGAGCTCTGATCTCAGATGTTGACAAACTCATCCTCGAATCCGAAGAACCTGTAATGTTCTGCAAGGCGAAAAAATTGCATCGTAAATTCGACGTTTATGTTCCAAAATAAGTGACAGAGAAAAAACTCACTCGCACTCGTTGCGAGCCCATCAAAGTGTTGTGTACGTCGTCGAAATCTGCGTTTACGCATCGAAGAAAATGATCGGACGGATTCCGCTTGCTAGGACAGGGGAATCCAACATCAGCGAAGAACTGATTCGATCGAAAAAACAGAACAACATGAGACCTTAAACGATGTAGTAATCAGACAATACTAAAATGTGCTAAACCTACATACCTGGACCGCCATTTCGGCTTCGCCGAAATAAATCGTCTCGCCATTCGACAGCAGCAAAAGATCGTCGAACAGGGCAAAGACCTCGCTGCTCGGCTGGTGAACGGAGGAGACGACGGTCCTGCCGCTCCACGCGACGTTTTTAAGCGCCTGAACGACGAAAAATGCGGCGGCGCTGTCGAGGCCTGTAGTCGGCTCGTCAAGAAACAAGAGATACGGTTGCGTTATAATCTCCAATGCGATGCTCAATCGCTTCTTCTCGCCGCCGCTTATGCCGCGCAAATGCCAATTGCCGATCAAATGATCGGCGCAATCTTGAAGTCCCATTTCAGTTAGCGTGTTTTCGATCATCGAATGCACCTCCTCAGTCGACACATTGCTCGGAAATCGTAACTTTGCCGAGTAAGCTATGGTCTCCCTAACCGTTAGGGTCCCCAAGAACACATCTTCTTGAGTCACATAAGCCTCAAAGACAATACGAATTAAACAAGTCAAACATCAATCAATATGCCAATTCTTGAATTTTAATTGAAATAGATAGGGGTGGACACAGTTCGGGTATTTGTAAATATGCAGATATTTGGTGTTCGAATCAAACTGAACAAATACCCGAAACCGCGAACCGTATAGGAGATTATTTGTAATATTTGTAAATAATTCGAACCGAATCAAAATTAAAAAAAAAATACATTAAAAAATAATTTAAATTCCAATTTAACAAGAATATTTGCAAATATTTCGAACCTCCGAATTGAAACCGAATTGAAACCGAATCAAATATAATTATTAATACTACTTTTGTCCGGCTCTTAGAGTCTCATTTACTTTCTTCTTTTTTTTTTTTACGCCGTGTTGATGTTTAAATATTAATTATTATATCCAAACATAATACAAATTAAAAAAAAATTGCAAAAATATTTCTATAGAAAGATATTTGTACAAAATGTATGCAAATATAAGGATATTTTTATTATTAAATATAATAAGGCAAAAGGTAAATGTGAGATTTAGAGACGGATGAAGGAATATAAATTTTAAAGATATAATAATATAAATATATTCAGTTCAGTTACCAAAACCGAAAAAATATAAAAAAACCGACACTAAATCAAACCGAACAAATATCAAATATACAGTATTTGTATTCGAGCTGAATTTACTCGGTTAACTGAAAACTGAATTCAGTTCAAATTAACATAACAATTCGACAATTCGATTCGATTTTTTTACGGCCATAGAAATCGTGAGAGACATTTATTAAGATCCTAGAATATATATACATTTTTCCAACTACCCTTAAAATGAGCATTAAATTTCCATATATCTGGAAATAGAACATACAGGTTTATATATGGAATGAAGATGAGGACAGGCACTGGGACTTAAAAAGATATATAATCAGTATATATGTATGTATGTATATACTCACAACGACGCCGTATTGAAGCTTCATTTTCTTGCCATTGAGAAGTACATTTCCAGACATGACCACATTCCCAGAGAGCCTACCTGCGAATACTTTGAATGTAAATTTGACAGCAAAACGCCACTACCAAACCAAACCATAAATTTGATTGATTGATTACTGATCAGACACGATTTCAATCTCTCTCTCTCTCTCTCTCTCTCTACTCTCTCTCTATCTCTCTCTTTCCAAGAAGACTAAATTAAACTGCACAGTAAATGCAAGAGTACAAACAGAAAGCAGACAGACACGATAACTACGGCATTAATTTATGCACACTGCCAAAGGTTACCCGAATCGTTGATTCATTCACAGAGGTTGCTCATCTTCGTACTAAATTATCAAATCGACGTATGTAATTGAAATGAATGAAATTAGGGTTTTCTCTTTTCTGGGATCCGATTAATATATATGTTCTGGGTCCATACATATATTTATATGTATATCCAGAATTAATTCGAACAACTTTTTCATCAATGCTGTCGTTTTCGTCTCCAATTGTCGATGTTTTCAAATTTTGTTGCAGAAAAGGGATCTTTTTCTCCTCTGCCATAAGTGAGTGTTGGGAGATCCGGGTCCTCGAGCTGCACCACCACCATTCAGTGATTGCACAGGCGCATGAGGTCCTGGATCTCCCAACAATCATATGTGAATGACATGAGCAAAATCCTAAACCCTAACTCACCCACATCCCACTTCTCGTACTAAGAAATAATAAATGCTATAATAATAATAATAATAATACTTTATTATGCACAAAAAGGGTTCTTTAATTTCTTCAACTAATAAAGTGATAATTACTAATGTCCATTCCCTCAGCCTACGACACCTATTAGGGTTCTTTCTTTTCCATCTATTCACTTACCATTTTGAAAGAAGCAATTCTTCGTAAATATTATTAAAAAAAATACTCCTTTCCTCCGGCAAGAAAGAGCTTTTTGCACATAAATTTTTTAATATTAGTATTATATTAGATTATAGTAAAAAAAAACAAAAATACCCCTATTCGTATGGTGTAATATAAAAGTAATGGCATTTGTGTAATATATTGTAAGTTGAAAGGGTATTTATTATGTGAAGTATGTAGTACAATTACTAAATTAGGAAATAGTAACTTTGTTTTGGGACGGACGAAAATGAAAAACGATAACATTTCAATGGGACGGAGGGAGTATATACATATTTTAATATAATACTCCTTCCGTCCCAAAAAAATGTTGTTATTTTTTATTTTTGTTTGTCCCAAAACAAGATTATCATTTTCTAATTTAGTAATTGTACTACCTACCTAACATAATAAATACCCTTTCAACTTACACTATATTAAACAAATGTCATTTTTATATTATACAATATGGGCATTTTAGTCTTTTTCACTACAACTCATTATAATACTAATATTCAAAAAGTAAACGGCAATCTTGCACCGAAACGGAGAAAGTATATCATTCATTCGTTAAAAGTCAATTATTCAACACAAATATTATTTTTTATATTACTAACATAGTCCTTATGGCACACACAAAAAACCAATTCATTAAAATTGCTAATAAACAAGTTCACCTTTTAAAAATTTTTATTCTATAATAAAACAATAATTTTTTATTTATCATTTTAGGCATCTCAAAACAATAATTTTATTTTATTTATCATTTTTTTCGTCTCAAAACAATAATTTTATATTTATAAATAATTATATTACCATAGAATTATTAAATTTTTTATTATTAAACAAATATTATTATCTTTTACTTATTTAGTAACTATTAATATAATATTGATATTTCTTAAATATCGTATTTTTTTTTTCAAGACATCGGGTCGGGAAGGAGGGAGTATGCAAAAACCGAAGATTTTATTGAATAATCAACTTTCACTTATTTGGTATTATTTATTTTTTCTAAAAATGACATCAAATACATATTATGTTTTTTCATAAAATATCGATCAAATCATATATTAATTTTTTATTTTTTATTTCTTTTGTTTTGTTCTATTATTTTTAAACTTCCAAGATTTTAAAATCTTTTTTTTAAAAAAAAAAAAAAAAAACTGTCGAAGTGTAGACTTTAACTGATCATATATACAAACAACAAACAAAGCAGACATCGTTATAAAAAAAAAAAAAAAAAAAAAAAAAAAAAACACAACAGACACGTATAGTGAGTCGTATAGAATGAATAAAACATTATGTGAAGATTACTTTCCAAGAGAGATCAGATTCAAAACCATAAAAAAAAAAAAAAAAAGGTATAATAGTAATTAGTGTGGGCAAACGGATTAAATCGAGTCGGGTTCAAATTCGGGTCATTTTAAACGGGTTACAAAACTCTCGACCTGAACCTGACCCATTTAATTAAATGAATTGATATTTACAATTTTAACTTGACCTTTTATTAATCGGGTCAACTTGAATCTGACTTATATAACTTGTTTAAATCTAAAATTTTAATTTAAAATTAATTTTCAAATGTATAATATGTATATATATTAAAACAAAAAATTATTTATTTATATCATGAAATTGATATTAAAGAATTGAATTAACAAACACTGCGTAATAGTAAACTAACACAATCCTTTATTTTTTATTGTTTATTTTTGTAAATTTGACCATAAATATTGAATTATACTGATAAAATTTAAAAAATATATTTAAATTTAAAATAATATTAATTAAACATGTTATATCGATTATTTTCAAATAAAAAATTATAGAACTTAGTCTGACCTATTTAATTAAATGGGTTAAACGAATTTGACCCGATCCAATTATTAATTGAGTTAAAAATCTTATCTCAAACCCAATTATTTTAGATTAGGTTCAGATCGAATTATCAAGCCGATTTAATATTTACCGACCATAATAATAATGAGAGAGAGAGAGAGAGAGGGACCTGCTAAAGAATCCAAGAAAGTGGATTTGCCAGAGCCAGAAGGACCCATAACAGCCAAGATCCGACCCGGGAGGGCGTATCCGGTCAGCCCATTTATCAGCCTCCTTGTCGGGCCTTCCCCGGAATTCGGCAGCACCGCCGTTAAATCCTCCCACGCCAAATACGCCGCCGCAGCGCCGCCCACCTCCGAACCTCTCTCCATCCTCACTCAAGATCAAACCCTCCTATCCTAAGTAACACACACACTCACCACGCCCAATACAGATATATATATATATATATATAGAGAGAGAGAGAGAGAGGTGGTGATTCAGTAGTGTGCCATGAATGGAGAAGCAAGGAGGAAGGTGGGAGCAAAGAGGCCATTTATACATACTTGGTGGAGATAGATATACATACAAGTATAGGTGGCTACTACGACTTGTAATTTATTATTACTATTGCATTATATACATTCTCACACTCCATGAATCTGACACGTGTCCACAGGGATTTCTCTCTCTACTATTTAGTATCATTAATTGTTGTTGTTGTTACACTCTCGATTCTGCTGCGCACACACACACTGCCAAACTCTCACCCTCAAACAATTGGCTAATTTAGGGTTTGTTTTGGGTCTATTCACTTGGGTTTGGTGGATTATTTTTATTTTATTACTTAATCATTCGCAATATAATAGTCTTATTTATTATTTTTTTATTTTAAAATAATAGTTTTATTTTTATAAATAAATATATCACTGTAAAATTATCCATATTTTTTCATTTTTATTATACAATTGTTACTACTTTTTACACTAATATACTCACAAGGACAAAAAAGTCTTTTATCTATACTTTTTATTAACTATCAATATTCTTTAAATTTCGTGTAATTAAGACTATAGTTCTGGGACGAATGAAATATTTTTCAGATTTAAGTAGATACTAGAAATGGAATTTTGTAATATAAAAAATAATATTTTGAATTGTAACGCAAAAGTTAATATGTTATTAAAGGTATCAAACATCAATCCTTCGGTTGAGGATTGAGCCAAAATGCATTTTTAAATAGCGAATGTGAATTTTCATATCATAATATATAATTATATATTAATATCCAGCCGCCGAACCAAAACTCGAATAGAGGGACAGCTAATTTTTTTTTTGGAAATTTGATATACCAAAAAATTAATATGATAGCTAGATATATATTGAGATCGTACTGAAATTTTGGCACATTATCGATATATATCATTTTATATCAAAATACTAAAATTTAAAATAATAATTTTGATATCACCATATTAAAATAATTGAATTATTTGTATATACCGAATACTAAAATACCACTGTTATCTTACCAAAAAATCAATATAATATTCTATCACACTGAAAATTTTGATATTTTTTATAATAAAAAAATAAAAAATAATTTTAGTACAAAAAACAATTTATATATCAAAATTTTAATATTTTTTATTATATAAAATTTAAATTTTTTTTATGAATAATAGTAAAAATTTAGGGGTGGGGTGGGGCCGGAGCCGCGCTGTATCAACAAAAGATATGCATAATCTATCATATTCTTCTATATCTTGTCTATCATGTACCTTGTTTTAAGAAACTATTTGTTTTAACTGTAATAACAATACAAGCCACTTTGTTTAAAACTCTAAGGTTATGTTTGTTACATAGAAATGAGGTCAGAAAAATAAAAATTGTATTATTTCTTTTGTTTATTTGAATCAGAGAAATGAAACTTGATAAATAAATTATTCTCCTATACAGAGAAACGATGTTGGAGTATGTATATATTTTTTAATTTTTAAAATATTTTTGTACCATTTAATTTTTATAATTTTTTAAAAATTATATTATTTCAATTTTACCAAAAACAAACTTAATTTATTTTTAAAGTATTTAATTTTTACGATATTTTAAGAAATTGTACTAAAATATAATTTTAAAAAATATCGTATATAATTTATAATATTTTTTTAAAAAAATTATCAAAAATATTTTTCATGAATTCTCATTCGTTTTATCTGGTTAATCATTTATTCTTGTTTGATCATTCGTATATCTGTATTTTTTTTAATATTTCTCAACGAAATTCTCTATTTTATCAAACAAGAGAATTAATTCTCATTCTCTACTCAATTTCATTTCTCTCCAATTTCATTCTCTACTCTCATTTCTCTACAATTTCATTATCTGTAGCAAACTCCCTGGAAGATCTTACCTGTTAAAGAGTTCATTTAATTGATTTGAAAGTAGGATTATCTTTTAAAAATGAATCTTCCTAATATAGTTCTATTCATACAACAATTTTGAAAACTTTGACATTATTCAATATTTCAATAAAAAAAAATTTCTTTGTAAAGCATCATACCAAATACTTCCTCAGTCCATTAAAATTAACTCATTTGGATCCGACACAAAAATTAAGAAAAATAAATATTTTATTAAAAAAATAAGAAAAATAAAAAGGTAGTTGATTTTTTAAATTTTAGTTAAAAATTAAAATAAATAAAGAGATAATATAATAAGTGCAATGAAATATATTATATTGTAAATAAGAATTTAATGAAAAATAATAATTAAATATTGACTTTGTCAAAACTAATAATAAAATAAATTTAGTGGACGGACAAAAATGAAAATAGAAATAATTTTGACAGACAAAAGAAGTACTAACTTTTACTATTTTTGAAATTTTAAAACTCCAAAAATCTCAAAAAAAAAAAAAAAAAAAAAAACAATATGTCTAAACAGAACCTAATCCTAATCTTTGTATCGAGTTTCTGCGGATATAATGGAAGCACCTAGCTCGAATGAGAGCAAATGTGCAACCCACATAAACCTTTTATTTCAACTAAGTATTATTCCATATGTCGTATATATTTTACAATATTTTTTTCAGGACTGTCTTACATTCGTTACAATATTTTTGAAATAAAAAATAATTAACTCTTTAATTGATATATACTGCACTTTATTACGTCGTATTATCCAAATAAAATAATAAATACATACTTTATTCTCCTATCACACAATTTAATTAATAAATTATCTTATTTAATACTATCCACTTAAATTATCATGCCAAAAATTAAATTTATCAAATTATGCAAGACGGATATAGTTGTTTCAAATTTTTATTTTTTTCTTAAAAAAGTAAATTATATCACACATTATTATATTTTATTTAAAAAAATCAACAAATAATATATCAATTCAAAGTACTTTTTATTATTTTCGTCAGTCACATTCAAAATATCTCTTTCATATTTTAAAGAAAATAATTATACATTAATATCAAAATACCTTTAACTTCTACTTAAATTACAAAATATCAAAAATTCTTACACAATTTCACTTACTAATAAAGTATTATGTTTTTTTAATCTATTACAAAATTTTAAAAGGTCTTTTGATTTGAGATAGAAAAAACATATACTATTTATTGCATAGTTTAGAATAAGAATAACTGACCTATTGTGTAGATAACTTTTAAAGATAAATGTACATTTTAATTTTTCAAAATAAAAATGAAAAAATAAATCATTTGTTCTATTCTATTTTAAGAATAGACAATTGTATGAATGGGAAAAAAATGTATGAGCACTTAGGCTGCATTTTTTTGTAGATTTTACATAATATTTTTATTATTCAATTTTTTTTTTAAAAAAAATCAAATTAAATAATAATAATTATTATTATTTTTATATTATATTACAAATTTATTTTACATTTAAAATATTATATTATCATTTATTTTTATCTCATCAAACATCTGTTTAAATTCAACTTTCTACTGCTAAAAAAGACAAACCCCAAATGACAAACCCACAAACAAATAAATTATCTTTTTTGAAAATTTAAAAATATTTAACTATTAATTTAAATATATTCTATTAAATATTATACAATATATCTCTACTAGAAAAAGGTTTGATAATTGTAGAAATTTATAGTAGATTTTAATTTGAAGCAATTAAAAGTCGCGGAAAGCAATTTCGTAACAAATTTATGTCGCAATTTCCTGCTTTAATTATTACATGAGTAATATATGACGTTACGATAAACTTTTCATGACTCTTTAAAGTACCGATTTTTGTAATAAAAATGTCCAAGATCTCTTCATTCCGTGTCTTTTGATTATTTCGTCACAATTTTTTTTGTGACTAATTTAAGTTGCGGCACAAATAACAAAAATACTTGCAATATTTTAAATTATTAAAAATATTGTTATGTTATGATTTCCGTGACGAAAATAACTATAACTTTTTTATTATTGTTCGTAGCTATTTAAAGTAACAAAAGAATGGTAAATTATATAAGACTCTATTGTGTTTTAGTAATAATGCACAAAATACATTGTGTTTTATTTATTGTGTGAACACTACCACAAAAATGCCTATTTATCTCGGAAAATTGTTTCGAACAAAAACGCCGAGACAATCTTGTGTCACAGAACCTTGTTTTGAGACAAATTAGTATCTCGACCATAGTTTGAGACATCACTGCGATAAATTATCTTAACCATAATCTCGAAAGTTATTTTGTGACAAAGTATTGTTGCATATTTGTCTTGAAACACCCCCGAGAGTAAAAATTGTCTCGAAATAAATTTCGAAAAGTATTTCGAGAGTATGAATTGTTTCGAAACAAGTTACAAAATATATTCCGAAATTTGAATTGCCTCGAAATAAATTGCAAAAATATCTCGAGAGTATAAATTATCTAAAAAACAAGTCACGAAAGTAATCTGAGAATATATGTTATCTCGAAATGAGTTGCTAAATATGTTCCGAGAGTATAGATTGTCTCGAAATAAGTCATACAATATATTTCGAAATTTGAATTGTCTAAAACAAAATTGTGAAAAATATTTTGAGAGTATGAATTGTCTTGAAAAGAGTCACAAAAATATTCCGAGAGTATCCATGGTCTCAAAACAAGTTGCAAAATATATTCCGAGAGTAAAAATTATCTCGAAATAAATTACGAAAAATATTTCTAGAGTTTGAATTCTCTTGAAATAAATTGACAAAATAGTCCGAAAGTAAATTTTTTCTCTTAAATCCAAAGCCGACGATCAAATTGCCCACAAGGAGACCAAAGCTCTCCAAAAGGCGGCAAAGCCAAACCAAAGATCAAAGTCTCGGATCGTCCTAAAAAAACATTAAATCCAAAGCCGATGACCAAATCGTCCACACGGAGACCAAAGCTCTTCAAAAGGCGGCAAAGCCAAACCAAAGATCGAAGCCTTGGATCGTCTAAAGAAAACATCAAATCCAAAGCCGACGATCAAATCACCCACACGGAGATCAAAACCCTCCAAAAGTCGGCAAAGTCAAACCAATGATCAAAGTCTCGGATTATCCAAAGAAGACATCAAATCCAAAGCCGACGATCAAATCGC